TCTTCACTGTGCAGGCAAGACTGGAGAAAGGAGGACTGGCACAATGAAAGCTGACTTTTCTGGATAAAAAGCTCATGTTCTGGATCCTTAATTCGATAGGAACAACTTAAAAATCAGCTATGTGGGCACAGATACTCACCCAGGTTGATAAAAGTGCCTTCTGCAAGCACTTTATGATATTTACATTTAAGGGAAAACCATTTACTTTTTTGCTTTTGAATTAAACCACTAAATTTCAGCCTGGATATTTAAAGATAAAAATTAAAATGCATAATGTGACACTCCTGAGGCATCATGTTGGTTGCTCTGCTCTCTTCTGTCTCCTGTCCACATGTTCCTGTTGTTGAGTTGGAAAATGTGTATCCAGGTTACCTTGGTTTGAATTTATTTGCAAAGTATTGAGTTAAAAGTCCAGTTGTAATATAATTAGAATTAAGTAGGTTAATAGGCTCCAGATTTTTTAAAATATATTAAAAGGAGATATCTTTCTCTCTCTCTCTCTCTGCTTATTTCTCATAATTGCAACATGAATTTAAGGTACTATAAAATTAATAGAACACTGACTCTAGAGACTGAAGTCTCCTGCCCAGGCAGACAGACAGCCTGGCCCTGCCGTGCCCCCAGCTGTGACATAACCCTGCCCACCAGAACAACTGCTTTACCTCTGGGCAATCTCATTTATTGACCCTCTAAGAGGGATGTTAAAAGACCAATTGCAGCTAATAATGTGTAATGCTTTCTGTGAGCTCAATCCTTGACCATAGAGAGAAGATTTTAAATTACCTCATTACTTGCCACAGAAAATCTGAGGGAAAACCACCCTCTCCTACTGAAAATATAGATATAGATGATATAGAGATAGATAGATAGATAGATAGATAGATAGATAGATAGATAGATAGATAGATAGATAGATAGATAGATAGACAGATAAATAGATAGATATTGATGGCAAACAGAGGGAGATTTGCAGGCTGGAAGTACAGATATGGTGAAGTCACCTTTAGCCCACAATGGGCATGGTTTGAGTTCGTGGTTTAGGAGGTTTTGGTAATTAAACTTACACAGTAAAACCAGTTTCCTTGTCCCGTCTCCTTGAGAGACCCTTTTGGCTGATGTTGGTGTCTGAGCAGCCAGGGCAGACTGGAGATGTCACAGCCACTGTCCCATGGCCCTGAGGTTCTGAAAGGCATGGATTGTGCATCCAGGTCCACTTAGGAAAAAATCTCCTGTTTTCTGTGCCCTCATTTCCCACCAGCTGTGGCTGTAGCTGGCAGGCAGAGGATCTGTGCTGTGAACACAAGAAAGAGGAGACACAAAACAAGGCTCTTGCTCACAGTTTCTGCAGCTGAGCCATTCCCCCCAGCCACATACCTGTGCATGTGCAAGTAAAACAGATCTGTGCACACCAGCACATTCACTCAAGTGTAGGATATGACATAATTATAGCCAATTAAATAATTTTCCCTAAGATGCTTTTTAGAAATCAAGTTGTTACCTATTCATCAGGCTGTCAGTAAACACATCTCTCTCACATACAACATGTTTAACTTTGGCTCATGTTACATTACTCATACACAATCCTTGTGGTAATTAATGACACCTCTATCAGTTCCCAGCTTTTCCAAACCCCTGCAAACAAACAAAATTATTAATAATTGAGGGGACTGTCCTTTATCCATTTGAGACTGGTTAGGTTTGGATTGTTTGTTTGCTTTTTCTTACTATTTCTGTATTCAACACAACTTCTAGAGGTGGGCATGGAGTCACTGATCCCAGTCCTGGGAATGCTCAGTCCTGCCAGCACCTGGAGGAAGGGGATAGGGCACATCCAAGAACTGAGGAGGCTCAAGGTTTGCTTTGCTAGGTGTGCATTCAAAACTAAGTACTGTCACTTCACAGATGCAAATACATATACATGCTCATTTTGGTTCAGAAACACAGTTGGGTTTGCCTATATATGTGTATATACATATATACTCACGTGTTCTGTAAGTTCTGCAAGCCAGCCCTGGGCCTGCAGCCCAGTTGATTACAGTTCTGTGGGTTATGTTAGTTCTGGCTCAGTTTTCTGAAGTTATGTCTACATTTTCCCCTTGCATCAGGCAGTTCTTCCAGAGGCAGTGAGTGTTGCAGTCATAGAAGAAAGATGATGTATTGCCTGGGTCCAGAAATGTCAAGTGGACTGGTGGGAAGCGCATTTTGTGATGTTCATGGCAATGGCTTCACTAAAGCCCAGCCTGCAAAGCTGAAGGGCTTTCTCAGCCCCTCTACAACCTGGGCTTTTCCTCAACATCCACCAGCTAGACCTGCTTTAATCCATCACAAACAGCTTCTGTCCTTATCCTAAATAAGCCATGGAGCTTAAACAATGTTATTTAACCTCCCGTGCCCTCTCCCCATATTTCTGCTGGTGCCAAACACCCATAAACTCATTCCAAAAAGCCACACGTTACCCAAGCAGTGCTGCCTGAGGAAAGCATTCAGGAGTGTTTATGGGGCAGCTGAAGTGTAATGATTTAGTAGATGTTTATAAATGTTTATACTGTACAGATTAACATTCCCCAGGGGGCCTGTAATGAAGAGAGTGCTCCAACTGGAATCCAACCAGCCAGCCTGGGCTGAATGAGCATGAATGAATCCTGCTGGCCTGCCCTCCCGAGCTGTTTACTCGCTCTGAGCGGATTTCCTCCATCCCTGCTCCTCTGGCATCTTCTTTTGGGAGAGGCAGTAGAGGAATCTGGTCTCAAAGGAGCACAGTCTGGAAACAAGTTAGAAAATCCAGCCCGTCACTTGGGTCGTGGCAATCATTTTCAAACTGCACCAGACAAAAGAACAAAGAGCCCAACCCTTGTGCTGGGGAAGTGGAGGCTGAAACTCCCAGTGACTTCAAAGGGAGCTGGGTCTCTCTCTCAGAGCGTGGCTTTCAAACATCACATCCAAGTGTAAACACTGCAAATCATATTGAAGCAACTGAGTCCTGCTATTGGAGCAGGAGCAGGGCCTTGGTACTTGCAGAGTTTTGTGTTAGGTCACTGTGTTTACAAACCACGACTTCAGACAATGTGCTGGAGGTTCCCAGCAATGGTTGATGAAAGAAACACTGACCTACTGTGGGGAACAGCTCCACCAAACACCCACTTGGAGGGGATGGACACAAACAGCTCCACCAAACACCCTGGAGGGGAGGGACATCTCTTATCCAGAGTAAGTGAATAAACACCTTCAATTTGTTCAGTGATGGCTCAAAGAATAAAAATATCTGCACCTGGTATTGGGATTCATGCAATGGGTTTTAAACTTCCACAGGCTTAACAACATGAACACCAAACTCAAAAATTAAGGCTGGGAACTGGTGGGTGAAGCTGGACCTGCCTTGATGCCTCAGAAGCAACGAGCAAGCAGGTTTTAAAAGAAGCTAACAGCAGTGATGACCATGAGAAGCATGAGAGAAAGATGGTTTCTTTGGGGCACGATGCCAGGTGGAAAAAATCAGCCTCTGAAATCACAAGTAGAGAAACAAACCCCTCTGGAATTCTGCTGTGGTCAGGAGAGTAAGAGTTTTTATACATGACACATGTATATATTCAGAATAGAGTGAATCATCTCAAGGGGGCCAGGGAAGGGTGGGAAGAAAAGAGAAAGGATCATGGTTTAGCCATAGTCAGCATGGGCCAAAAAATGTGGCCAAAAACACCAAAGAGAGCAAACTGTATCTTCAAGAGGGGAATACCACTGCCAGTGGATTTCTGCTGACAGTCTTCTTTAAACTGTGCTTTTTTTGCTGCTGTGATAAGATTTCCCACTTCTCCAAAAATTATTCTACCTCTGGCTCTGACAGTGACATGCCTGCACAGGACAAACAGCAGCACCACGAATTACAGGTGTTCTCAAAATAAAATACACACTATTCCTTGCAAACTCTTAAACCACAGCACTGGGGGCTGAAAATGCCTGCTGTGATTCTGCAGCCTCCCCAAGGGATCAGACACATGGGGAGGGCTCAAGACATAAAATTTCTTTCAATGGGTTTCTGAGATGTTTTTAAAGGCTGAAAATAAGTTTGCTTTACATCTTGGCTGGAGACGCTGGACAAAGGTAATTTTGTCTGCAGTGGTTTATTTGCCCATCTCACGGAGCTGTCTCAGCTCATTACAGTGTTTGGCAAACACTCCTGGTGCAAGTTCTGCTCTGTAACCCCACTTGGGTCTTTAGAGCAGTGGAAAAGACAGATACTTGAAATCTTCTGGAGCGCTGTAACCATCAGGTAATTAGCTGGAGCAGACTCACAAAGTAGGAAAGGCTCACGAGAGCTCTGAAATGAAAGCACAAAATGCCTCCTGGAACTAATTTTAGAGTGGCTTGAAGTATTTAATCCTGCAAATTATTGCCAGTGAGGAAACCTCAAGGTACTGCTGGATCTTAATAGTGGCAAAGCAGCAGGAGGGGCTCACCCTGAGCTGCCTCCTGCTGCTGGCACAGCAATCAGATGCTTTACACCCTCACAGGGGCAGGGGCATGGTTTGTTCCCAGTGACTTCCACAGTGGCCTGGAATTGTTCCTCTCTTGTGTTTGGAAAGGATCCTTTGTCAGCAAAGCCAATTCAGCCCTACCTTGCAAAGAGCAGAGCAAAGGAAGAGGAGAACAAACCCTGGGGGTACAGACACCCCTGTATCCCCCTAGACCCTCTGCCATGGGTGCTCTGCACCCTTCAGAGGGCAGGGCAGGGTTCAGAGGGGGCACAAGGAGGCAGAGTGCTTCACTCCTTCCTAAGACCTGTCTGAGTTGGAAAGATGCCTTTCTGGTTCCTTGCTCTGCTCATGAGTGCTCCTGAAGGAGGCTGAGGAGATTGGATTTATTCTTTCATCCCTCCAGGAGTCCCTGTCTCCTGTGTGAAGTGCAGAAAGGAAACGTCAACCTTGTGAGGACTGTTTTTAGGAATAAGAAATGGCAGATATGGGACTAGAAACCAACTTCTTATGTTCTTAAGACCTACTTACCCTCAAAAAGATCTTCAGATCTGCAAACTCCTTTACTTGCATCAGAAACCATGTGAGGGAATTGGGAACTCCATGTTCCTTTCCACTGAGAAGATACTCCAGAATCCTGTTGTTGTGGTGGTTAAAAAAAATTTCCTTTATTTTCCAGACAGAATTTATTCATAGCCAATTAATACCCCTTTGTTCTTGTGCCAAAATATTCTTTTATCTTTAATAAGTAGTCTGTCTAGCTCTGTGCAAGCTCTACACTTGATTGCTGCAGAACCAAGGAGTTCCCTCTTCCACAAGCCATAGGAAGAAATGTTAATAACAGAACATGCTGTAATATCCCATGCAATTTTTGCAGAAGCCCATCCAGGTGTGTGCAAGAATCCATGAACTAATTCCAAAACTATTTCTACTATCAGCTTTCCCAGCTGGAAAAATTTGCTCATCACTTAAAAACAAAGGAGAGGCAGCAACCTACATTTTAACATTTACCTGAAAATTGTTTCCCAAATAGGAGAGTTGCAGTGTCTCCTCCTTTCCAAAACTCACCAGGCACCAAGAAGCATCTCTTCAGCAGAGCCAAGATTTAAGATCCTGCACATTTCATTGAACAACATCCATTTTGGAATTCAGATTTTGTTTCTTTTTAGGTACAGGTATCCTTTTGCACGTGCATGACTTATATCTGCAAGACCAAGTGATCAAATATCAGAACTAAGGATAGACATAAACCCTTATTCATCTGCTGTATGATTCATTCTTTAAATATTGGATTATGTCTTCTTTTCCACCAGATTCTACCTCAGGATGGACAGTGTTCACTTAATAAGCAGATATTCAATATTTTGTTACAGTGTCATTTTTCAGCATGTGGCTTGAGGCCTTATTTACCACAAACTACTCCAAACCTGCTTGGGAGACACAATTGCTGATTTTCTTGTGAGCTTTTCTCGGGCTGTTATCAGGATGGCATCTGAGTGCTTTCACAAGGCTCATTGCTTCTAACAGCACCCTGGAAAACGAGAGGATATTATTATTCTTGTTTGACAGATGGGAAACTGAAACACAAAGAGATTCAGGTCAAAACATTTTGCTTTTGTTGGGCACCCAAACTGAGATGTCTGGGAATTGATTTCTCAGAGTTTTTAACTCTGTGCAGCATCCCATGGCAGGAGGAACAGCACTCTACACATGAGAACACAGAAAAAATCAAATTAATAGCCAGTTGGGAAGAATTCAAATTGACTTCTCTGAGACTTGGTGAGATCTTTGCAGGATTGAGATGCCTCAGCCATGAGATCCCCCATTTTCCTTTCAGTTCTCTCTCTTTTACTCCACTTTCCCTGTTTCCACAGCAAATACAGGCAAAGTCCACCAGAAACCAGACTCCTCCTCTACCCAGCTTTGACTCATCCCCTGAGCTGCTCCACCTTCTGAAGGGAACGAGCCCAGGGTCCTCTGCTAAATATAGCACATGGTCCTGTAATTAAAGACTAGACCAAACACAGGTACAAAAGGAAGCCAAATAAACACTTTGCAGGAAACCCTAATTTCATGAATTCCCGACACCCTTTTCTAAATAATAAGCTTTTCAAGGAGAACACTGTCTCCATTATACATATGTATATATAAAAATGTAAATTTTTATACAAATGTAATTTTTAATTAAAATAAAAATTCTTATATATATACATGATATATACAATATATAGGATAGGAATGTTACATAAGTGTAATTATATAAATTTATGTATATTTATATTCTTGTTCCTGAGTAATAATCAGCTGAAATTTTCCAAAACCTGGAAAAGGTACCTGGCATTGTATACTAAGCCCAAATGATTAAAGCTTTCAAGTTAAAATTAGAGGTGATCAAAATCTGCCCAGTAGGTTTCAGTTCAGCATTTTGACTGCATCCTTCTGTTTCACAAAATCAGGATGTACGTGCCTGGGTAAGTCAAAACCATTTGTATTTTATAATGTTCACTGCTGAAGGAATATGTAGGAGCAGGACTCCAAATTTCCAGTATTCAGGAAATTCAGTTATTTCATGATTTCATTTCATTGTGAATCGAGAGAACACCTATACCTCCCTTGCCTCAAACTTTGAAATTCCCCTTAAAATTTTATTTGTGTTGGGTTTACATTGTTCTAAATAAATCAACCAGAGCTGATACCAGCATGGGAAATTTCAGAGTGAATGTTTGGAGCTTGACAGAGTTACAAGCAAATAAAGAAGCCTGGAAAGTTTCAAGCAATCCTAGTTACAGGTACATCACCAGCTATTTTTAAAATATCACTGCACTAGCATCTAAATTTTGTTAGAAAAAACTTATTAAATGTGCTCTGTGTTATTTTCAGTGCAGTGATACTCAGGAATGTATCCTCATTTTCCAGGTGCTTTTCTGCCTCTCCCACTTAGTCATAAGAGAGTGAGGAGTGGAGCTCTGCCCTTCCTCAGCCACAGGACTGCCTCATTTCATACACCCATGAAAAAAGACCCCAATCTGAACTTTTTTAACCCAAAGGACCCCCCAGTAACCTGTGGAAGAAGGAGCAGCAGCTCTGAGCTTCCCACCTGGGGCAGAGCAGCCCCCACAGGTAACACACTTGGGAGAACACAGAGGGGACTCCTAAGAGAGGAAACCAGGGTTCAGGCTAATTCCATGCCATGGAAAAGCTGGACAACCTGGCCTTTTCACTGACTAATATTTTGTTCTGTTTTCTTATCAAGGGGACAAGAAACTTCACTCCAGTGCCTTTGAAGGACACGCTGGGGCTTGTGTGAATGTTGGGTTTCTCCTGGTTCATAAAGAATCAGTCAGGGCTTCATGAGAACTGTCCAGGCAAAAACCCCCTGTGTGAGGATGTTCTCTTTTGAAGGGAGGTGAGAAATCAGCTCCAGCCCCGAGCTGAGAGTGGCTCTTTCCCAGAGCTGAGCAGTGGGGAGGGCTCAGCCAGCACAGGAGGAATTCCCCTGGAATCAGGAGATCCTGACTCATGGGGCTGCTGTCCCTGGGATGGAGGGGCTGGACTGAGTCTGGGCTGGGTCAGAGCAGGGCCCTGGCAGAGCTCCCTGGTACACAGTCAGTGTTCCAGGGAAATAAAGGAAATACAAGGAAAAAACTGTTCCACAGGCAGTGACAGAGGCTCAATCCCCGGGGCAGGAGCTGCCCAGGTGACACGGGATAGGAGACCCTTCCCAGCTGGTATTTCCTTTCTCCCTTCATTTTCCTTAATCCTCTGCTCCTCTGCAACAATCACAGTAACTCACTCAGCTCCTGCCATGATGCTCAGGACACTGTTATAAAAGCTGTCCCCTAAGCCGGGGTTTTAGCCCAGATTTCAGCAGTGTAAGATGAGGCTGCACACAGAGCAGAGCTGACACGGGCCTGGAGTCCCTCAGCACTTTTCCTCAATAAATTAACAGCAGAGCTGCTGCCACAGCAGCCTGAGCAGTTTGCAACATTTGTATTTCTACTTTGGCTATTTATTGGTGTTTTTCACAAGCCCTTTTAATGCCTCCAGGAGTAATTTATGGGGACAGAATAGCATGAAAAGAGCAGATTCCACTCATTTAAATCTCTGGATGATGAAAATCACATGAGAAGAGCAGGTTTCTCATTGCCTCCTCTTCATAAATGGCTTTCTGAGGCAGTAAAAGCCATGTAAAAGCAAACATAAACACTGTACAAACACCAAGATATTCAGGTTTGTTTGGACTTACCCAAACACTGCCCAGAAATGTTCAGGTTTATTCAGGTTTGGGTTCTGTTTTGTTAACTCATCCCTTAAAATGTTGCAGGTTTTAGTTATTGTTAACATAACCAACCAGATATATGGACTAAAATTTCTTTAAACTGATATTACTACGCAAAAGGATTACTTTAATAGAAACAGTTCTTAGTATTATTCTTAATTCAGATTGTGATGAGTAATATGTGTGACTGTGGTGATTCTTTTTTCCTTTTTTTTTTCTTTATTTGGCAGCCCTCACTGCTCCTGCTCCAGCACATGATCTGGACACCCAGGATGGTCCAAGTTTCCAGCAACTCACATGCTGGTTATTTATTTTATAAAATAAGCAAATTAGTGAAGCATGACTTACAAACTCTTTGATCCAGTGACCACTCATCTGTGTACTCACATAAAGAACTGTAACCTTTTAGTGCTCATAGTAAGAGATATGGACAGGTCACTGAGTTTCCTTCCTAGGGCTGGGGGGCAGTTTTGGAGGTATCTGCCACACACTGAAGCTTCACATTTTTCAAGTGAAGTGAAATTTCTAAAATAAGTAGCATTTGCCTTCTAAAGGCAAATGAAAGAGGTTCCTTTGCCCTTTTTTCATTAATTAATACTCTTAACTCCCTAATTTCCAGAAAAAGTCATAGAATCACAGAAGGGGTTGGGTTGGAAGGGACCTTAAAGTTCATCTTGTTCCACCCCTTGCCACGGGCAGGGACACCTTCCACTGTCCCAGGTTCCTCCAACCTGGCCTTGGACACTCCCAGGGATGGAGCAGCCACAGCTCCTCTGGGCAACCTGTGCCAGGGCCTCCCACCCTCACAGGGAAGGATTTCTTCCCAATATCTCAATCTAAATCTATTCTCTTTCAGTTTAAAACCATTCCCTCTTGTCATAGGATACAATGTTTTCTACTTCAGCTCTCCTACATTTCATGTTTTGCCTCATGAGACCAAATTTATTACAGTAAGGGATGTAATTTAATAGTATACTTTAAACAACCATGAATGTACCTGCTTGGCTCCTCATTTTTCACCAAGTCACTCGAGGAAGTATTTAAAAGCCAGAAGACTGCCCCAGAATTTGTGTGAATAATCCAGGCTTCATGATTCTGCAAGACAGAATAGAGAGTTAACTTGAGAGGTTTCCTCTGCTGCTAGTCACATCAAAATGCCATAAAAGCAGACAGATCCTTTCACACTCTGTTTCCCTAAAGGGCCATGGAAAGAAATCTCAGTCTAGACCTTCATCCAGCCAAAAACTCTTGCACCCATGCTCAGCTTCCTTCACGGTTATCTCTGTATAATCAGAGGAAATAATCCCCAGTGTACAAAACTGCCAATATATTCAAGGCTTTGCAAAATCCCAGCCCCCCAGACCTGAGCTGTGCAAAGTCACAGGATTATTCATAATTTCACCAGCCTGATTCAGCAGAAGCAACGTGGAATCATTTCAAGTCACATATAAAGCTGTTTATGGGTGTTGGGAAAAGCTGTGTCCCCTGAACAAAATGTAGCTTTCTCTCAGCTTCATTCCTGGGTTTAAGGAGAATTAAACCATTCTGGAACTTGCTGGGAAAAGGGGAACAGGGGGATAGAGAAGGACAATTTATCTCTAAATTACATTGCTCTTCAGAGTAAACCACAGAGAGCTGTAATGGGACAAGTAATTTTTTTACCTAGTATAATTAATTAGAACCCATAAAACCCAATTAAACAGCACTTTTGAGACTATCAAGTGGTGCATGTTTGAAACTGCAAATATGGCAGTGTAAGTACGTTTTTATAGCTGGGCACACTCCTCAGGATTATTTTCAGTGCTCTACTAAAATGGGAAATGGCACCAGTTTGGCCCCTGATAATAAATCGCTTGGAAACAGGAGATATTAATAATCTTTATGGGGGTAGGATGGGAGCCAGATGGGGCAGGGAGGGGAGTGTGAAAGTGGCATAATATATTGGCCTGGAAAACAATCCAGGCCAAAGCAGAAATGGAATCTTGGTGTGTATCTGAGCAGGCTGGGAAGATAAAAGGAGAGGTGGTGGTTGAAAGGGGGCTTGCCCTGGGAGATGAGGAGGATGAGTTCCAAGGTAAGGAAGGGAACATCCTGCCAGGTAAGCACAGAATGGGAGCAGAGGAAAGAGATGCTCCAGCAGATTTCATGGCGAGGAGAGGGAAATGCAACTGGGAAAAGGTGCTGGGAGCTCCTGTCCCTGCCCCGCTGCCCTGGGAGGGGGCTGTGTGTGTGTGCCATGGGTGTGATGGGCTCAACACACGATCCAGTGTGAGGAAAAGCTCACTTGGCCCTTGTTTATTGACACGAGGCCCCGTGGATGTTGACCTTGGCAGCCGGGGCCCTTTGCCGTGTGCCAGGCGCTCGTTCCCTGCCCCTGGAGCAACACTCATTAGCACCAGGCCCGTTCCAGTCTCACGTTTCCAGCAGTGACCCGTGGCCACCAGAGCCTCCCCAGACACTTCATCATGCCCTGTCAGCAGCTCCCAGCCCGGGCACTGCCAGAGCACAGCGAGGGCTCAGGAGAAGCCTCTGCCTCGGGAGCCCCATGGAGGCCTTCCTGCTCCTGGAATTATGAGTTTGTCTGGGTTTGGAATATCTTATCCTTCAGAAAATAGCAATGCACTTTGCCAGCTGCTCCCAACAAGGGGTACCTCTATCTTATCAGTCGCTCAGAAAATTCCTTCAGAGTCACCTATCAACACATGAAGAATATTTAATCTATAATGCAGGAAAATATACTCTCAAAAGAGATTTGGGAGGAGAAATGGAGAGAACAGCTGGTCTGGACAGAAATGTTGCAGCGAAGATTCACAACATCCACAAGGAGATCCAGGGAGGACTCAAGAGCATCAAGGAGATAAGAGCTTTCTGCAGAAATGCTTTGTGCTCTATGTTATGCTCTCTGAAGGTCTGCAGAGTGCTGTCACATTCTTTATATACATGGGGAGGCTATTCATCTCTTAGTCTTTAACAATCCATTTACTAAACTAGAGAATCTTATAAATATTTGCATTTCATAAGTCTTATGCCATTTCACCTGCACTGAGCCCTTAAGTTTTCTCAACTACATAAATTATTTTAAGATCTGTCTCCTTAGTATATCTAAATACTGTCATTTTAGTTTGATAGAGACATTTCTTTCTCTTTGCTCTGTGTGTAATTTTCTCAGTTTAGGAACTAGATCTTTAAGGTTGATTCCAACAGAAGCCTTTCTATGATTCTATGAAAACGGGCAAAATTCTGAGGCCTTTGAAATCAATAACAAATCTCTCAAACTTTATTTGTGTCAAGATTTTGAGTTGAACATATTTAAGTAAATTCCTACATTTGTTTCTAAATGAGAGATCTGTAGCTCTTGAACTGTCTTCTTGGGATGTGTTAATTTTGATAGGAAAATGAAAGGTGCTAATTTGTCCCTGTCGCCATATAATATTAAACAGTTAAATATGGTCTGATTTTGGAAACAGTACATGGCAGACATCCTTAAAAAAATCATTCAAAAGGTACTGAAAGAATAATCTTTTCCAAATCTGTCAACAAGATTCTAGCCACTGTTCCTGGCACAAAATCTAGCTTAATTTGGTAAAACAATCACTTTTGCTCTTGCAAACATTGTAAAACAAATGGGCTCACGAAAAGAAAAATGGGAACATTAAAAAGACCCTTGATAAATCCTCAGGGGTGTGCTGCTGTGGTACTGTGGGGTATTTCCAAGGTTTTAGAAGTACAAGTAGATGTGGAGGCAGGAGGGAGCCCGGGCTGCAGGGCTGAGGGGCTGCAAATCCAATTCCGAGCGTGGTTCTGCTGTGAATGCTTTTCCAGGTCTCACACCATTACATAGGATGTAGCATCATAATGATGTCAACCCTTGGCCCAAAGAACAAGCTGATTTAAGTTTTATGAGGGGAAGGATGAATCCTTCCAAAGGAATGGTGAGTGGGATAACACAGAACTGTGGGATCACAGTTCAGGGAACTCACAGTTACGCTCTGAACTATTTTTAGCAAGGTACTGCAAGTTCAGGGGTGGTTAGAAAAGGCCTGCACAGCCCAAGTGAAGCACAGCCTCTCCAAGCATTGACAATTTGCTCCCAGTTTTGCAGAGAGGGAATCAGACCCTCTCTTCCCTCTTGCTGAAGGTGACTGTGCAGCAAGGCTGCTCTGGGGGTGTGAAGGAGCATCAGAGCCTGTGCAAGGAGCCTTCCCTCCCTGTCCCCACCCTGGCACAAAGGACAAACACTCACCTCACACTGGAACCAGCACATGCCCCTCTCTGCTCTCTCCAGGGTGCACCAGGGCACAGGGAAGGGAGGGGACAGCAGCAGGACCCAGGTACTCATTGACATGATTTCAGTCCCAGATTTTCCATCTCTAGGGAAACACAACCCCCCAAAGATCAGACACAAAGGACACCCAGGGGTGTGGGTTTTCCATCAAAGCTGCTGCTGTTCCTGCAGTGAGAGCACGTCAAAGACCTTCCCCCAGCTCCCTTTGGAAAGTCACTGCAGATGACTTCTGCCAGCTCCTGTTATGTTTTTCCCTTCTTCAAACACATACTTAAGAATATCCAGTTATTGTAGATCACCAGGAACACACAAGGAATGGGTTGCTTTATAAGCTTTACTACAATTATGGATAATGCTGGAAATATATACTGTATATTTCCTGTATGGTGGGACTGCTACAAGCACAGAAAATCCACATTGAGGGGGATTTCTATGCAAGCTATGCAGCAGATAAAGATTGGATTGCAAGCTTGAATTACTGATTCAAGCTGCTGCTTTGCCTCTCCCCACCCACTTCCTTAATAGCTTTTAAACTTAAATAGCCATATAAGTTAAAATGTTCTTTTATAGGGTGAAATAAACAGATTTTATGGTTCAGAAACTGCAAGTTTAGAGATCAACACTTTACCACTAATTCATGCAGGTTCAAGCTAAGGAAATGGCTCATTTTCTTCTCTACAGTTGTTGAGATTTTTTTTCCCCAAAAAAATTCAAGATGCACTTTAAATTAGATGTTATGAAAACTCTGGATGAAGACAAGACTTTCTCTCAACAAATTACATCTAACTTACTGCATTTCAGGTCCCAAATTCCATGAAATCAGAAGGAAATTACTGCTGAAAACCTCAGGTTGGCTAGAAATTGGTACAAAACATCAGAATTTATTGTTCATGTTTTGATAAGGCATTAAAAATAAACAAAGAAAGAAAGAAAGAACCAACAAAACCCAACGAACTCACAAGGAAGGTTTCATATGCCACTCTGGAAATCTAAAAAGGTCTTATGAGTGCAAATGTAATTAATATTTAAACTTCTTTTTAACCCTCAAAGCTCTGTAAAGAGCATTTAGCCCCAGCCCCAGTACAATCCTCTCCAGTGGAACAGTGGGAAATGCCAGTTCCAGCTGTCCCAGAGAACCTGAGGAGAAGCAGTTCTGACAAGCTCCACACCTTAATCAACACAGTTCCATTACAGGAATTATCCATCACATATTTTAGGGAGCCAGGGGGATAACCACAACCCAGAGGTTCTTGCAGAAATAATGGGAGGGTACAAAACCCCAGGAAGATACAGCTTGGAAAGCTTGATATGACCTGAATGCACAGAAAGATATTTTCAAGCCAAGGAAGGGCAAGAACTGATTCTACAGAGCAGTGGGAGACACTGCCCTAAGTGCTTGAAAGAAAAATTGCATTGCCCTGATTGTTTTATCAGAAAAATCCCAGTGTGTTTCATTTATCCATCTATCTGTTCATTCAACCCTCACCATTATGATTTTTGAAGATCTGATACATCCAGTAACAGCAGGGGAGTATTTTTCTTCCCATTATTATCCCAGCTACATTAACCAGCATTTAAATGGTTAAAATGGAGGTTTTGTTTCCAAGCAAAGCTAATCCTGTTCCTGAGGACACCAGTAATGGTGGTATATGACAACATAATCAGCAGCACAAGGATATAAACAACTCCCAATTATCCCAAACCAAAATTTTTGAACATCTTGTTACATTTTTTCCTTAGGCCTTAAAATTACCGAGTTGTTATGGTTGGATGCTTTGTGGTGAATAAATCTAGA